ATTAGTTTGTGGGATAACATTTCTTTTTTCAGTTGATTTTCTCTTTAATAACTGCCCTTATCTTAAACACTCTTCCACAGCAGTGAATTAGAAAGAAGTGAGGAATACCTGATGGCAGAATTATCAGTAAAAACATCACAATAATTGACAGATCAGGCAAAGATTGAGCAATGGTGCACATCAATCGATTGGACCCAACACCTGCAAGCACTTGCACTAGTACAGGTACATGTACCAGTGTCACCAGATTGTTCAGCGAAGCTCATATTTGTTTTCAGAGCCACTTTTTTCATGCATGTTACTGTTCAGTTTTGCAGCAACACAAGTGTTGAATGCTTTGATGTGAGATACTGACATTTCTCGACTCTGAGCGTGCTTGCAGGTTCTACATGTGCACACAATGCGTAGTTTATTGTCAGATTGTCATTCTCATGGCCATTCTCAACCCTTACTGGTACATTATCCCATGATATATCAAAATTAGGAGTTCAGAAACTTGGGAGGGGGGGGAATGAGGCATTCTTGTATTACAGTTTTGATGAGAGAAAGCTCCTTAATGTACTGTATGTTTGAGCAGATGTATGTCTGTATCATCAACAGGCATGTACCTGTAAGTACATGTACTTTGTTGGTGATCCAGGTACATGCAGTGTTATTTCTCCTGATGATGAGTTCAAAGGTCAGTTCTGCCTTCTGAGATGGCTTGTTATTATGACCTGTTTGAGCAGGCCATAGCTGTTACCTTAGCAACTGTAACTATAAATAAACACCATGTTCCGAGAAACTGAACAGAAAAGATATACACGTATAGTGGAATTTCAGGCAGGAATACGTAAAAAAGTCCAGCAGACAGCATCAGTAGTTAGCAGAGTTTTATGAAAGAGAAAATACTAAAAAACCAGTATCTTCATGTGTTGCAATTGATGGATAGAAAGTGTAAAGTCCAGTGCTGTTATCCAGCCAAGAGTGGTATCATTAAGTTCTCTATATTTACTCTGCGTTCAGCGGTGACCAGCAACGAAATGCAGCCGGAGGTACTTCAAAGAAATAAATGATGGCTTGGCAGTTGAAAGTCCAGCACTTGAAAAACAAAACAGACAATACAGAGGGGAAGAAAAAGCCGTAAGTTTTTCACAGAACGGCGGCGCGAGCCGTGGCAGCTGCGAGGGCCCCAAATTGGCTGGTGGTAATTAAGATACGCCTATTGCCTCGGCTGGCTTCCTTGCAATTTGTCATAACAAGCTGGCAAGAAGCGGGGTGACAGTTGAGCGGGATTCTGCCACATGTACACTGTGATGAAAGCACAACTTGATGGGTAGAAAACAAGTTACGTGTTTACTCAGACGGGGCAAACTGGGAGCAACACTTGCAGCTGGTAATGATATATGTGCTTGATTAAACACCTTGAAAGGCAGGATGCAATTACAAATTTAGCTCCATGCATTTTTCTGTGCTGTAAAAGATTGTCACATTAGCGTTCACTTTGTGGGCACTGTGCTGTTTAACAGTAGTTGGAGAGATGCCAAGCCCAGAAATTTGCAGGGACAAGCACCATCTTGAACATGTCCTACAAGTTTACAGGCAGTCAATCTCAGAGTTTGATGCATGACACTTGGCCACGTACATGTAGACTGTTTTACTAACCCTGCATGGGCACAATGTCATATTTTCGCAACTGTTTTTGTGACCAGCATATGAACTTTTTGACATTTTTGCCCATGTAATAATAAATCCTGGGCCACAGGATGTTCCTGAGTGCCTGGACAGTGCACGGGCAAGGGCGATCTGCAGACCAATTATGGCCCTCAAAAATTGCATTTTTTCTATGGCTTCGTGTAGTAATGTTGGCAGATTTACATGTACTGGTGCCTTCAAGTTTGCGTTTCCTCTTTAACAATGCACGCTGAGTGAAAAAAAAATCCTCTTTTCTCGAAAATGACAGTAAGATTTCACAGATTGTATGACACTATTATGTAGTGTGATACCGGGTAATTCTGCAGTCCCACTTTTGAGATCTTGTAAATCCTATAAACAGCCTTTAAATTTTGGAGCAGAGGAGAATGGGTCGGTGTCTCGACTGTCATTTGGACAGTTGTTTTCAATTGACAATAATTCCCAACCGAAAATTGGTTATTGATAAGTGAACTGAATACATGTAGATGCTTGCTTGTTCACCTGCTTACTACATGCTTTAAACATACCACATTAAGGGGAATTAGAAGCAAAGTTACTTAATTGTTTTCTTACTTGTCATTGCATAGCAATTTTGTTGAACTGTGAAATGATGAACTGATTCAAAAAGAGCTGCTCTTTTAGGACTGTGATGTCCAAAAACAATGCCTACCTAGTTTCATTTATTGATTTCTTACTAGAAATCTTTGCAAATTACAGAACAACCTCTCGGAGAACAAAGCACAACCTTTCATTAGTATCTGTTGTAGGTACCGGTACATTGTACGCTACTAGGGCAATTCAAATTCTTGTACTAGTACAGTAGGTTCCTAAGAATGCCACAAAATATAACCATTTGGATCCCTAAAGAATTTTAATTCAATGAAAGAGAACTTCTGATTATTTTACATACATGAACACGTACACGTACATGTACATGTATACTTGGTATTTAATTTCATAGCATAGCCAGGAGTACATGTACATGCACGTGTAATAGGGGAATCCAGTGGTAAGATGCAGGAAATGCTTTTTACACATGTACATACACCCCCATGTATATGGCTTCAAGTGTTTCCACAGCAGTTACTGTTTCATTACTGTGTGGGAAATGGATATCTTGTTCCAATAAAACTCAAATCCTTCCTGTTGATACACTTCAGATCAATTTTTTTTAGTACCGGTGAAATGTACTTTGTGCTTTCATATAAGCATGTCATACCTTCTGCAATGTACATTTTTGTTATGCATACATGTAGCTTGGTTGCCGATTTGAATGCCTTTTAAAACTTTCCTTGTTCAGTGCTAAGGTACTGTTGATAATCTGTCAAAATCACCCGGCAGTGTTTACACTGGTGTTAAGTGCTGATACCGATCACCTGCACTTTCCCCTCCGGTTTCATTTTTCACGAGAAGTTGAGCAGAGGTTAAAATTGAGTGCTGGATGGCCAGTGTAATTTGAATGGCTGGTCTTATCTTGTTAGATCTTTAAATACGGCTGGGAGGTACATGTAACTGGTACCATAGGGTTAAATGTACATGTAAGTTACTGCCTGGCTGGTTTTAAACGTACATGTACATGTACATGTATATTTTAGACTGCCTTAGGAGAGTGGACACGTACGACTTATGCCTGAGCTGCAGGTGAGGTAATTATCAGTGTTAGTTTAAACCAACCAAGCACATACATGTATTCATTCCTATCTGTAAATAATGAAAAACATCTTTCAATTGTTTTGACCCAAAATCTCACATTTTCACTTTACTGTTGAGGATGTGTTTTCATCTACTACATCATATATTTGTCAGGGTTTAGATTTGTCATGATTTTCCCGATTTCAGGATTTTTCAAACAGTCTGTTCTAAAAACTCTTGAAAATCCTTAGCAAACCATTTAGGCTTTCATAAAAGTTGAAAGAACAAACAACAAATTTTTGGGGGGGGGTGTGTTTAGGCAAAAACAAAATTTTGTATACCATTGACCATACACTACTGTGGGGCCCTTAGAACCTCTGGTGATTATTTTGTGGATATTTTGTTTTCTTCAAATCTCACCCCTGGTTTGCACATGCAACAATGCGATAGCAACAGAGCATTGTGAACGGGACTTACAGGCATCATACATGTATTTAAGAGTACGCAAGAAAGTGTAATGTCAATTAAGAAACTACTCAGCAAGTAATTCAAAGGCGAGACTGTGGTGAAGCAGAATGCCATATGTACATCTGTACAAAAGATCATGATTAGCTCTCGTCATTGGTTCTTCATGCACACATGCCATCAGCATTGCCATGGCAACCGCAGGTCTCTGGGTTTCCCGGTCAATATGTATTTAAGAGGCGAATTCCTTCCACTCGCGCCAACTCTCTCGCTGTCTAACCGGCATTTGCATACGGTACGATGCACGTGTGACTTGTTCATGGTGTGTTCTGGGAACAGAATTGTGCCTGATTTAGTCTGCATTCAACAAAAGTTATGTGGTGAGTTGAATATATGAAGGATAATTGAAAACCTGTTGCTATGGTTTTCAGATGTATCCATTGATACCATGGCTAAGGTGGTACATACATCTACATGTACAGGATGTGACAAATATTATTTAGTTTCCTGGTCGAAGGATACATGTAACTTATTACAGGTCAATCACATAGCAGTAAAGTGAATGCACATCGTCCATGTTGTACAAGTAGATACATAATTTTGTGTTTTGTTCACCAAGATATCGCTGAGAATTTTTCACGAAGTAATATGGCAATCGCCACTCTTGCACCACACAACGCACTTGAGAATCCTAAGGATGAATATTACTGTTTAATGGAAATCGTCCACAGATGGCAAAAGAAGATGGCTGTCAGCTGGCACAAGGGAAAATCGGGACCGAGTCTTGAGGATATAAATTTGTCCCTGTAACAACTTCCTCCCCTATCATGTAACACGTGTTTTGTACTTGCTGGTACTGAACAGGTACATGTACATTGTAGATGCATGTTTGTACACTCTTCTGGTATGTTTAGTGCATGTATTTCTTTGTGTACTGTTCATGTGTATTTCTGTTATCCATCGGTATTTAAAGTTTAAGCTGGAACATAATATAATCTTTCCTGTCATGATGACTGCTCGTGCATGGCTTGGAAGCATCGTAATAACAAGATAATAAACTCATGACTTCAGTTTTTTCTTGAGGCATTCTATTTTATCCTTTTAGCCATTTCCTCTCATAGCTCGTATGCGAGGTTAGTCATGATTAACATAGCCTCTATGAATTCCCTACCTTGAATTACTTTCATGATTTAATCAGAAGCCACTTTTTTTCTCCTCATCTTTCACAGACTCGCACACAGTCAATATTGCCCAAGAAGCCAAAGTGGGCAGCCAATATTTGAAAGAGCCGATGAAACATGACGACTTCATTACGTGACGGATCCTGAGCAAGCTAGCAGGGCTGGAGTGCGAACTGGCATACGTACATGCTACACAGGTATTGTTCTCTGTGTACATGTACGTGCATAGCCACTTTATGCATCAGGTGCTGTGTGTGTGCAACTGCAGTGTGAAGACTGTACCGCTGTGTGGTGTCAGAAGCTGGTGAGTCGCCCATTGCAGACACGTGTGGTTGTGTGTTCAGAGGGAGCAAAGTGTTGTCAATGCATCAGTATCATCATTGTGCAAAGAGTCATTCTGTCATTGTGCTTCTGTTGGAATAGTCACTTCAAGAGAGCCACTTACCAAGGGGATTGATTATATCCTTTGAGTTTGATGGGCTGGAGGTTGAATCTTAAGATACTGTAGAGAAGCTTTTGTCACACTGAATTTTTGAATTTTGTTCTCTTGTGGCTGAAGTTGTCCGCACATCAGAGAAAACTGTTGGTAAGTTTAGAGTGGTCCATCTGTTTACATAAAACATGCATCACATGGTTTCTTCACTGTATTACAAATGCACATTTTAGCTGCATTAGCTGTATTGGCTGTAGGAAATAAGACAACTTTGACACACACTTGTATCATATCTGTACATGTACCTCCTCTTGCTTGTGAAGTTGAGTGGAAATTCTGACAAATTTGCTTTGACTTAACCTGTCTCTGTGTTGTAAGAATGTTATTCTCACTTTCTTGGGACAAATTCCATACTGTGCTCCCTGGTGACTTCTGAATAAAATTACTGACCTTAGTTTACGCTTTGTTTTGTATAATTTCAAAACTGATGGTTTCTTTAGGAATGTACGTGTACTACACGTGATGTCAACATAATTTGGCATTTGAGGAGGGAGATACTTCCGTCTGGAGTCTATAAATTGTAATTTAATTGGTTTCCCATCACACTGGTATACATGTACTAATAATGGTTCATTCCTTGTCTCACAGAAAAGATGCTTATTTATTGTAAGGAAAATGATTTACTTTAGGGATTCTTTGTAACTTTATAACTGTGTAACTTTCTAACTATCCATGAACGGATGCCCTCTTGACAGAAAATATGAATTATAGGAGAGCCACAAGAAAGGATTCATGGCTTGCTTCAAGCCTGGTTTACATGGTTTTTTATGCTCGTGTACGTGTACACGTTTACGTATATTGCAAATCTAATTTTTTAATGCAGCATGGTGAATCAATTAGGGTAATATGCCACTGCCAAAGTTATTGATTACTGCCACCAAGTTGGCAGGCCTTTTACATGTATGTACCAGCATGTGGGATGACAATTGCACAAAAGCTGTTTTGTCAATAAGCCAAGGGGGATGCTGGTGTCAAAAACAAAGCAAGAGAAAACAAACTAGAAAAATAAAAAGGAAAAGCAAAAACCAACTTGGCCCAGCTCAACCGTTAACTCAACCCAGCCAGACCCAATTAAAATGGACATTATCAGAGCAGATCTACATGTACGAGTACGCATTGAGGCATCATCAGGCTTTTTTCTTTTTGATGGTCACCTCTTTCCGGTTGGGACAGGTGGTTGGAATTTAATGATCTGTCTTTGATGGTTGAGTTAAACATATACATAGAGTTACCTGTCCTGCAGTAACAAGGCCCATGAGAAATGCCAAGAAACAAAGAGCCCGTTTGCATCGGGCAGATCCCGATTGCCATCAGTGATGCAGAACTTGCTTCACCAACACCAGAACCCCACCTGATGGATAGCGCAAACCAACACTATCCAGATCCATGTGAAACAAACAGGCCCAAAGATTGACTACTTTTCAGAGGATATGGTACTCATTAGTATTGCCTAGGCTGACCAGACTTGGTAAAGATTAATCAACAGAGAGGATTTGGTGCGATGTTTTGTTTGTGTCATTTCTTAATGCATCCCCCTCCGTCCTCTTCCCATATGTTGGACACAGATTGATGAATGACACAGAACCATTATGTTTCCCATGTGCTGCAATGTTTCAGTGGGGCACTTTCTTTGATCATTCCCTCTTTCATCCCCCAGCACAGCTCCTGAAGCCAGAATTTAAAAATAAATAATAAATTATTTCCTGTAGGAGGCTAATTTCCGTGGTGCTCAGAAGAGTGCTTTGGAGTAGTTGAATCTATCTGATACAATCTTTAAATAAGCATCCAAATTTGCTCATACATGTACTAGTAAAGTTCTCTGCATACTACATGTTCATGCTCTTTGTAAAATGCTCTCAGCATGTGACATTTGCCCTGCTACATGTCCTGTAGTGGGATTGTCAGTTGTTGGGGAGTGACATGCATTCATGTACATGTACATGTACATATCATCTATTGGACACACCCATACTGTACATGTAGGAACCATATTGTACCTATAGTCCAAGTTAAATATGATTTTGATGGCGTCATACATGCACATGTATATTGGTTGAATTTTGCTACACGCACAATTTTGCCCTTTCTTTATTAAATACGAGCACACACTGTGATGCATACGTTACATTGTAAGATGCCCTTATGAGGACACCGTTTAAACACACATCAATTATGCAGGTGTTGGTTCATTAAACAAAGTAAACAGTGATGGACAGCATACAACGATTATCACTAACACAACTTGATGAAAGGCCTGTTGCTTACCATGTATCATATTAATGAAATGTGCAAACCTTGTATCTAGGATAAGGTGGATTGCATGCACGTCTCAGAATTGGTTCCTGCTCGTTCTGAATATTTCGGAAAAGCACTCTTGAATTTAAGAAATTGTACTGTATGCATGTACATGTACTCTGTTTGTAAGACTTCATATTTGCATAACAGTGGGGTAGGAAACACAATGCCCCCTCCCTTTATGTACATACATGTACACATGTACAGTGGTGTAGATGCCTCCTACAAATGGGGGGGGGGGAGAACATCAGTATACCCATCTGTGTGCCATGATAGACCCTACATTATACATGCTTGTGCATGTAGTTATGCCTCTGTCCCACACAGGGAGAAAGTAATTTCATGTTGAAAGATGAAGAGCAATTGACTCAGTGCCACTGGCTGATGTAAAGCAATGTTTCATCTTTCCCCAGCCTGTCACAGCCTGTGAGGAACAACAGGTCTCTTTCTTGTTTTGCCAAGGTGACCAGAGCACCATCAAATCAGATCCCATGGGGGGCCTCGTCTAGTGAAACAGATCTTCATCTCCGTCGGCATAGCAACCGAGGACTGCATCATGGGATGCGGTGGCTCCAGCCAGCCACGCTATGAGATGAGCAAATCAGAAAAATGTGAGTTGACCAGACGGGCTGACTAAATGTCTTGTTATGTACATATGTATGTCTGCCTGTTCAAAATCAGATCCCTAAATATAGATTTAATTAAAACAAACAAGCTTTTCTTCAATCAAGAAGTTTGTAAATTTAATCCTATATGCACATCTGACTAATGCTGGTATGTGTAAATTGCCAGGGTTTTTTAGATTTCAGGATATTTTACACCCAAAACTTCAGATTTTTAGAGGTTAAATCATTTAATTTGGCTATTCATAAATACCTCGGACAGTCTCCCTATTCAACAACGTACAGTACAACTGTGTATTAACATTTGGTAATACCCGCTGAGATGTGCTAATGCCAGCTGTGTAAATCACGTGCTGGTACCTGGATACGAGACAGTTCAATTGATTCTGATTGGACAAGAGCCTATGTGCACACGGAACTCACAATGGACGCGCCAAGTTCATATAAGGGCATTCTTCTGAACAACTTGTACAAGGAATGTACGGTACCATAAAACAGACGGGGGTGTTCGTGAAAATTCCATTCTCGGTCTGCCAAGCACCTATTATTCCCTCATTAAAGATCAAAGGGGAGATTCACGTTCTGGTAATTACAGCCATTTGAGAAAGAACGCACATCTCGTTCAGCTTTTAAAAGCCCCTGGTAAGTCACAGTACTTTGTTATCCTTATATCTCTGCTGGATGATTCATGAATGTCTCTCCATCTCCAAATCCCACCCCTGCACCAAATATTGTCCAGATCCCATGCACTGCAATCATGCCTGTATTCCAGAGCTGTCAGTTTTTTAAGGGGAGAAAAAGGAATAGAAGTGGCACTTCCCTGTTTACACACTGGAGGAAAGATCTGTTTCATGAGCTGAGCCACTGCAAATTCCTTGTTGACTATAGGGTACCAAAGTGTGACTTAAATGTGAACCAGAAAGTGCAGTGCAAACCAATGGAGTAGGAGTGTTGGTTCTCGCTCTAATGCCTTTTACATGCATAACTGTGTACAAACTGTCTTTGCAGAATCTTTCTCCTGGGGATACAATGGCCCAAATTTTTTGGTCAGTGTTTTTTTGTCAGTGCCTTTTTAGTGCAGAGGTGCTTACATGTAGGTGAAATAGATCTTTTCTTCATCATCTTGACAACCAAAAAGAGAAGCACGGGGTCAAATGCTACGTGTAGACACATGTATCGACAAAAAATATATATATATATAAAACCTTTTGCTCTGTGATCAACTATTCAGGAATAAACGTTGTAATTTTTCTCCCAAACAAAAATCCATTTAGTTTATTTTTTGCCTTGCTTGTTGTGCTGGACCTGCAGCCTAAATTAGTGGGAATGCTTGTGGAATAGAGTACATTTGGGGATGTGCAACAATTCAGTAACATAAGACATTGCGTCCTCATTAGATAAGCTGTCCTCAGTTGAGGAGAAAATGAACCAGTCATATGGAAGAAATGGATTTGCATATGAAAGGAGTCGCTAGAAAGATACAGGTAATGGGAATTGAATTCCTTTTGTACACAATAAATAGAGCTGTACGTGGTTCTACAGTAATAGCGACTAAAGTTTGTGGATTGCACTATATATGAACCCTTTCTGAAAGCCTGTAATGCAATATGACAGAAAATGTGTCAACTTCATACAGCAAATCTGTAACGCTGGTGTTTGAGAGGAGAAGTGACCACTATGTGTTATTGCTGACTCCCTGGGGATGACACATTATAGACCCCCCGTACCTCCCAGTGCAGCGCATCAAGTCAGCCTGGATGATTGCACGCTCATTACTGGGTCGACTCACATTTCACCGCTCATTTGCCCCAGACGCGTCCTCAGCTGCGTGCGTGCGTAGCACAATATTGTCCGGCAACCGTGACAGTTCCATATGGCTGGTGATTATAAGTGTACATTAAACCACCTCGCATAAAACCTGACATTCCCTCGGACACAAGATTTCGGTATCACATACAACCAGCTTGCATGAGATCTGATGTACATATACCAGTACATGTACATGTGCATATTGAACAAGTGGAGCAGGGGACATGTGATACATCCACTTCTTTGACTTGTACTTGTTCAATGTACAATGCACATGTACATTGTAATTCGGACACTCACATGTTTGTTAGTACATGTACATACATGTACATGTGTACCTGATAGTTGCAAGGGATGTACATGTTGATGTACATGTACATATAAGGTCCATGTACATACATGTATATGTAGGCCCATGTACTGTACGCGCATTGTTATTATCCTGTTGAGTTATGTGCACTTGGTGAACCACTGACAACTTGAACATGTATGCAAGATCAGTTTGCACTCAGGCAGCCCACAGATATGATATATGAAAGCCTTGTATTGATCAGAGAAATTGTCAAGGGCAAGGTTTCTTGTTCGTTTGATTTTCATTCAGTGGACAGTAATAAATCAGTATTGATGCTGGTTGATTGAGGTACATGTACAGTACTGTTTTTGATGGTTTTTTTCACATCATATGAGGAGTGCACAATTTGTCAAGATTTGGAAGTTTGGGTAGAAGTTGGTGTTATAAATCTAATGTGGTATGTGGGTGATTCTCCACTCTGGTGCTTCAGGAGACTATTGAGGCTATGAGAGCATTAAGGTTTGGTTTCATCAGATTGAAATTCCGGTATGAAACTCAGTCATTTGACCAAGGGTGGCTGTTGTCATTATCAACTGACTTTGGCCATGGGCACAGTGGGCGCTAATTTTCCTCTGTAATTTAGCCCTGAGCAAGCCATCGATTTCCTAACCGCTCATTGCAGAGCCTCATCATGCCTGCCCTCTTTGGTTTGGTAAATTGCCGGATTCAGCCCACTCTCATAAAAAATTAACCCTTTGCCAATGAGCTCAGTATAAACGGCCTGTGTTTGCTCTCTGTTGCCTCGTCGAACTGAGACACTCGATTTTCGAGATTATGCCTCTTCATATTATGCAACTGGTTAATGTATGAGCACCTGAAATTGCCAGCGTGGATTGATTGTCAGTGAGTCTCAATAATTGTGCATGTGCTCATATTCTGGAGTGCTATCATGCTTGGAAATCAAGAGCATTGCTGAACACAGCTGGAAATGGTCATCAGCTTTTGTGCAGATTAATTATGTGAAGGGCATAGGCAGTGTAATGTTTTTAATGCATTTTCTTGTAGTTGGGTCCATGTAACCTGATATTTAGTTTTGCTGTGCCAGTTTAAGGGATATTTGGCTAATTTTTGTTTTCTTGAAATGCAAAGTTTCATACTTCCGAGCAAAAGTGTGCAGTCATCCAAGGCAAAAACCTCGGTGTTACACAGCTATTTCTGCTCCAAAATGTGCTCCCATGAACTTCAGATATTTTGTTGTCATGAGCTTTGTTTCCTTTGATAATTTCACTCTTGTTTCATTTCATGGCTGTAGTCCTGTGAGCAGTGTTTTGTCAGAATTTGGTCTCATAACATGAAGAGGGTCATCCTCTAATGACAGTGCTTCAAAATTGCTCTTTAGCACATGGACTGTATGACCACAAAAGAAATGTCACATACTTCTTGTTGCATTTAACACGTTGACTGCCAACTGCGAGTAAACTCGTAGTCACAGGTGTACAGGATTCTGCCACTATGAGTATATTCATAGGAATGGAAGGCTATTGTGATGTAAATTGAATACACTGGCATCACTAAAGAATACAACAAATACATTGCTGGCAGCGTTGAGGACGTACATGTACATTTGTAAAATAACCTTGTTCAAATAGACTCTGGAAAGTACCTATTAAATATTCGCACATGCGTGCCGGTATGCCACTTGGAAAATGGGACTGCCCCTTTGAAACTATGCCTCGCATTCAATATGTCAAGTCGAGCAAGAAGTTGCACAAAATGTATTCCCAAATAAAATTTGTATTGTGGTCCTTTAAAGTAGTACAGTTTACTTGTACACGTCTCGCCTTTTTTAACCATACAATCTATGTACGGTATGTAAGTAACAGCATGAAGGTGCCAAAACTCAGAAAAAGTTATTACACAAGGGCAGATCAAGAATCACATTTTGGGGGTCAAATGTTGGTTTCTTTTTTTGGGGGGGGCTAAAAACAATTTGATTTGTTTTGGGGGGGATACATTTTTATTGCTTTATTTTTGAAGAGTAAGGCTACATTCTGGGGTGGCTTAATACTTGCATTTGTAAAGAAAATAAAATAGACCCCAAAATCCTCTTTCTCTCCTAATTTAAAAAACAGAAAGTATTGTCTCTTGGTTCAGGGCAACACGACTTTAATGTTTCCAGGGTTTCCAGGGTCGGGGTGCTTGTCAAGAAGTCCTTGAAACAGTCTGCTTCTTGTTATCGTCATTGCCTGAGACTAAAAGCTCTTAAAAGCTCTTAAAAGGCCAGACAGGTAGACAAGAGGCACAGAGGCTGAGTGGACAGTATATGTACATGGACATGTACATAGAGCTGATGGGGGACTGGTGCATTTGTTTTCGCTGTCAGCCTTTTTTGGGGTGCAAATGGGAGAACTCTCAAAAATTATGCCACTGAAGTAGCAAAGCCATTCTGATTGAAGTTACAGTAACATTAACGTTCATGAATGGCTGCGTGAATGGACTGATTACGTGGACACTTGTACATGTATTTGTTCGCAATCGCCAAAGACCGTTCTACGTGTATTTTGTCTGTTTTGTCAGTGGCCAGCTGAGTAAAACTATGGCTAGCCAACAGAACAAAGAATAATTCAGTAAGTAAAAAAATCTCACACAGCTAGCAAAATGCTAGATGTTAATCACACTACGGTACAGGCATCGTAAACATTTAACCCCCTCTTTAAAAGTGATGGGGGCAAAATGTACTTTTGGAGGTAAAATCTGACACCACCAAAGGTGATGTTTCCCAAATAGACAGTGGGCAATTTTAGGCTGGTCTGCAAACTGAATAAAAGACAGTGACACAACCCAGTTGCCATGGAAGTTTCTGAAGGAAGACTTTTGAAATGTCTTT